AGCTTCGGTTTTTCGAGGGTTGGGTTTTTGGGGGTTTTTGTGACCTGCCTTGCTGAATTCTGGGAAGGGGCTGAGCCCCATGCGGTGCCAGGGCTCAGAGAGGGGGGCACTGCCATGCCCGCTTTGGGGATGTGGTGACCACCAGGCTGCCCTGCCCGCAGGGACTGACCCGCAGTGCCCTTGGCTGCCCGGGGTGACCTTGACTTTTGGGAGCTGGCTTAACCCCATGAGGGCTAGGAGAGTGATCTTGGACTGGAGCTCTGTGCCAGAGATTGCTGGGGTCCCGTGGAGCGGTTTTGGGGTGCTGCCCATCCCAGSTGGGGTGCGGAGCTATAGGGGAGGGGGCTCTGGCAGCCTGGCCCGGGGGTCGCAGTGCACGTCCTCGGGGCTGCAGCTATTTCTGATCAGCTCTGCAGCTCTGCTCCGGTGTGGGCAGCGAGCTGGGGATGGACTGAGGAGCCTGTGGAGCTCAAAGCAGCCCCTTGCACAGGGCTGTGGCCCCCCCAGCCCCAGCGCGGCGGGCGGAGGAGGGTGGGTGGGCTACGGTCTGGCGCTGGCTGCGGGAAGCGGCTCCGCACCTCCCCTGCCCACCGCAGGTTCCTCCGGTTGGTGATTCAGGAAGCCAGGGCTGAGCAGGAGGAACCGCCAGCACCTGGGGGGCGGCGGGGGGGCAGGAAACCACTCCTCCCATTCATGCTTTGCTGGGCTCTGCCTGCGTCACGCAGCCTCCGGAGCACAGGGAGAGCTGAGCCGCTTCCTCTGGGGGCGGCGGGAGGGGGGACCGGGGTGCTGCCACCCCCTCCCCAGCCTTTGGGGAAGCGGCTGCCGGGCACGGGGGCTTCCTGGAAATGCTCCTGCACTTCCTTCCTCCCCGCATGGCTGCCCCCGCTTTCCAGGGATGGCTGGCGTTCGGTGCCGCTRCCTCAGCTCTTCCTTCCCCCGGTCCCTGTGCCCAGGAGCGCTAAGGGGGGGGGAACAGAGGAGGGGGATGACACATCCTGCTCTTCCAGGGCTGCAGGGATGTGGCCGGGGGGCTCTGCGCCTCTGCCCCCCTTGGCACAGACAAACCCCTGGGTGCTGGCACAGGTGGCTGGATGGGGGGCCCAGCTGGAGACCCTGCAGGGGCTGGGGGGGGCATTTGCTGCTCCTCATCCTTGCCGTGGCCTTGCCTTTCCCATCTGGATCTCCCAGGCTGGTTTCCTTGTGCCTGTTCGGGGGTGCTGCCCTCCCCATGGGGAGCAGAGGCTCACCGGGGGCAGCTCCAGCTCTCTGCCAGCCCGGAGTTGGGGGCCCGGGGATGTCTGGGGCTGGGGGCCGGGGTGACGCGGGGCCAGGCGTCGGAGCGAGGCGGGAATGCGGCGTTCTCTGAGTCATCGGCGTTTCTGAGAAGCAGCTGGGAGACACTTGCCCCATCCCTGCGGGCCCCGAGCCCGGTACAGCGCAGCTGAGCCCCCCCAGGGCCTGGCAGGGTCCCAGGGGACCCCTGGGTGCGGGCACTTTGGGGGGCTCAGTGTCCCCAGCCCCCCTCGGCGAGGCTGTCCCGGCCCCCGCGGCGGAGCCGGCTGGGAGGGACGGGGTCCTCCCGGCGTGGGCGGCCGAGCGGGCGGCTGGGTGGGACGTGTTTGCATTGGAGCGGGCTGGTTTCGCCGGGGGGAGGAAGGTTGGCAGCGGCGTGGGGGCGGGTGCTGGGAGCCCCGGAGCTGGGGCGCCGCGGGGACCGGGCGGGCTCCGTGCCACGGCCCAGCCCCGGGGGTGCTGCGGGGACCCCACGCCCTGGGGATGAAGGGGGGCTCTCTGTGCTGCTGAGAAGCGCCGGCCTGGCCGAGGTTGGGGTGCTCTGGTTTCTCCCAGCGCTGGCGAGGGGTCAGGCAGGGCAGGGTTGAGTCAGAGGGAGCGGGAGGCGGCCGCGGGGCCGGTTGACGTCAGGGGGCCCCGGGGAGGAGCGCGGGGCTCCCCCGGGCACACCTGGCTGCAGAGCCGGGCCTGGAGGAGGGTGGCAGGACCGGGGTGGGGCTGTGGGGCTGTGAAAGACCCCGCTCAGCAGCTCAGTGGGAACAGGACCCGGTTGGGTTCTCTTTCTGAGTGTTGGTGAATGGTGCGTGGAGGTGGCACAGGGGACCCGGTGTGAAATGCCACCCTGCAGTGGCTCAGAGTGGGGTGGCCCAGGAGCCGTGTTGAGCTCGGTGCAGGGAGCTGGGATGGGGCCAAGCACTGGGGACGGGGCTGCCAGCCTGGCATGAGGCCATCAGGCTGCTACGGGAAGGGAAACTGAGGCAAAGATGGGGGGCTGTGGCGACGCTTTTCCCGCAGCCAGGTGCTCTGTGCTCGCACACACGCGTGTGCACACGCGTGCCCATGTGCACGCCCGCCGTCCTCTCCCGCCCCCTCGGCCCGTAACCTCCGTGTCCAGAGCTGCAGCGTCTCCTTCCCGCCCACCCCTTCCTCTGCAGCCTCCGCCTGACACGCTCGGGGCTTTGCTGCTGGTATTTTTAAAGCTGCTTTTCCCACGGCTTCTCAGAACCGGCCTCCGCGGCAGCGGGGCGTGGGGGAGCGCGGCCGGGGCTGGGGAGGGGATCGGGGGGGCCCTCTCAGCGGTGCTGGGGATGAGGAGGGTGCTGGGGACCCCTTGATGGCTGCACCCCAAAGGTGCTGTGGGATGTGGGTGGGTGACAGGCGGGGAAAGCCGGGCCCTGCGTGCTCTGGAATAGTGAGKGGTGTTTGTGGGGGTCAGTCCCAATAAGTGAGAGGCACAGCACACATGAGGGCAGGGGGGGGCTCATGGCTGCCCCAGCTGCCCCCCCAGGAATGTGGGGCAGTGCTGGGGGGCTCCCCCGTTCCCTGGCACAGCTGCTGAGTGATTTATGTGTCCGGGGGAGGGGCTGAGCAGTGCGAGCTGGGGGGTGGCAGGTGTTGGGCATTGGGGGCCCCCCACAGCTGCAGCCTGGGCAGGGTCAGGGCCTGGCTCTTGTCTCAACGCTGCAGCTGCTCCATCACCTGCCGGAGCCTCCGGGCTGGGCAGGGCCCGGCCCCCACCCCCAGCTGCCTGGAGGGGGGGAGGAGGGCAGGTGGGCTGCACTGCCTGAGTCACARCGGTGGGCCTGGCATGTCCTCGCCTGTGCCCTCCCCTTCTCSCTGTGCCAGCAAGGACACCCCCTGCGTGCTGGGGGGGCACCCTTCCTGCTGGCACCGGGCATGGCCCCATCCCTGGGCCGGGCATGCGGCTCTGGGCAGTCCCAGCTGAGGCCCCTGCCCATCCCTGCCCGCCGGGATCAACAGCAGGGAGGGCACGGCCAGCYGGGCACGGCCACTCAGTGGTGGGGAATAAAGGGCAGGAAGGGCAGAAGGAAGAAAAATACCCCCCGGCACCGTCAGCTGACGCAGCTGGCACCGGGCTGGGGTCGCRTGGGGACGGCAGCCGGGCTCGTGTGCCAGCCTGGCACGGCCGAGGGCCTGGGAAGGGCTGCGGGAGGGGGTCACCCCTTTTCTGCCCCACTGACCCATCCCTGTGGCCACGAGAAACCTGTGGGGGCAACCACCGTCCCCTGCTCGACACCAGGAGGGCAACCATCGCCCTCCTGCTGGTGCCACGGCTGATCAGGGTCCCTTCTCTCTCCTCAGGTCAACGACTTCTTGTCGGGCCGGTCCCCGCTGACCCTGGCCCTGCGCGTGGGTGACCACATGATGTTCGTGCAGCTGCAGCTGGCGGCTCAGCAGAGCACGGGGCAGCTCCAGCACCGGCACCTCATCGCCAGCCGCGGCGAGGCGGGGGCCAGCGCCAGCCCCCACTGCCGGACGCTGCACGGCGCCGGCGGCTCCAGCTTCGCCCGCATCCCCGTGGTGCCAACGTGCCAGCAGAGCCCGGCCCCCAGCCCCGCGCCCGCCGCGCCGGCCCCTCCCGTGTACTGTAACGCCCCTCACGCCGCTCCCGTCACCGCCGGCATGTTCCGGTCGCACGGGGCCAGCACGCAGACGGTGAACAGCAGCGTGGTGTCCTCCTGCTCYGAGGTGAGTCTGGGGGTGTCCTGGGGTCTTTGGGAGAGGGGAGCGAAGTTGTGGCGTTCCCAGCTTGGCCATGGGCCTGCCCTTGCTTTCCTCATGCTGGAAACGGGTTGTCCCCAGTCTGGTCTCCAGAATGTCCCCAGGTCCCAGGGAGGGGCTCAAGGACAGGGTGTAACCCATGCTCTTGCCCTGCCTGTCCCCACACCCCATGGGCGGACAGGAACTGCTGCTGTTGCTTCCCTTTCCCCCTGGCACAGCACAGCAGGGCAGGGGAGGCTGTTGGGACCACCAGGGCGGTTTCTTGCGTGCCAGAATGATTGGGACTGGTGCCCACTGTACCTCCTCAGTGTCTGGGCTCTCCTGACCTGGCTCTTTGTGGGGAGGCAGAAGGGCAGGAGCGGGGCTGTGTGCCAGAGGCTGACCCCTTGTTTCTCCCCTCGCAGGTGGACTGTGGCTCCCGCAGCAGCAGCTCCCCGGGCAGCAGTCCGGCCCCCTCGGCCCGATCCCGCAAACCCGGGGCGGTCATCGAGAGCTTCGTCAACCACGCGCCTGGGGTCTTCTCAGGGACCTTCTCCGGTACGTSCTGCTGAGCTCCCCGGGGSCTCTGGGGGGATTTTGGGGGCAGTGGGACCGTGGATCTGGGGGGTTTCTTGTCTCACACACACACCTCTTCCCCACCTCCAGGCACTTTGCACCCCAACTGCCAGGACAGCAGCGGGCGGCCGCGGCGGGACATCGGCACCATCCTGCAGATCCTCAACGACCTCCTCAGCGCCACGCGACACTACCAGGGCATGCCCCAGTCCCTGACGCAGCTCCGCTGCCAGACGCAGTTCTCCTCTTCCTCCTCATCTTCCTCCTCCTCCTCCTCCTCGCCGCCTGCCTCCCCGGACCTCGCCACCAAAACTACCTCAGAGCCGCTGCCGGCGGCCACCGCCCCCACCCTGCACCCCGTTGTCCAGTGCCAAAGCCAGATCCGGATGTGCAAGCCCAGTGGTGAGTCTGACTGCCATCCGAGCGGGGAGGGGTCAGGTTTGGGGTTGGCACCTCTTGGAGGTCCCTGGTCCATGGCTTTAATTAGCAGAGATAGGCTGGGAAGTGGATGATTGACAGGTGCCAGTCAGGGGGGGCTCCCCAGGTTTGGGGACAGCCAGCACACCTGGGGATTTGGGAAGGTCACTCCACCCACCCTTCATTGCCACCTCTGCCAAACYTTATGGGGACAAAGTGTCCCCGTGTGGGTGGGGGAGTGGCAGGTGGCCGTGGTGGCTGTGGCCGGTAGCTCAGGGCCTGTCCCTGCTGTGTGGGCAGAGGTGTTKGGGTCACCCACACTCTGGCTTCCCCATTCCAAACCCATCTCCCCATACTGGGGGTGAGGGTTGGCCYGGCCAGGGCGTGGCAGAGGCTCCCCTGGCGTTTTTGGGTGCACACCTGTGAGCCCCGGGGCCGGAAGATGCCTCAGGCGCCCGCCCCGGACCCCCTGTGATTTGCTTAGAGGAAAGAAGTGAAACCACCAGTGCTGGCTCGTCCCCCTCGGGGTTCCCTGTTCCTTCTAGCCCGGCTGGGGGTGGTCCCAGGCCCCACAGGGGGTGGCTCCATGCTGGCTCCAGCCCCTGGTGATGTGTTGGGTCTTCCAGGGCCGCCCCCAGCGCTGCTCTGGGCCAGGACCCCTCCCCATCCATCCAGGGGAATAGGGAGGGTGTTGTGGCGTGGACACTGCACCCCATGGAAGGGCTGTACCCCATTGGGGACCAGCCTGGTGCTGTGCCCACACTCTGTTTTTGGGATATCCAAGGGTCTGTGCTTATGGGGGCTCTGTGACCCCCCAGGATATAGATCAGGCCACCCTCCCATGACCCCCTCACTCTTTTCCTATTGCTATGGGGCTGTCCATATACCTGTGCCCTTTGGGGCTACCTGTGTGGGCTGTGGGTCAGAGAACCCCACCACAACCCCTCCTTCCCTATTACACACACCACCCTGCCCGTTACGGTGCTATCCCCACATCCACACCACGCAGGGCAGTAACAACACACAACAGCCCCCCGTGACCCCTTCTCCCCTTTTCCCTCGCAGGGGACCGGCTGCGGCAGACGGAGAACCGGGCGACTCGCTGCAAGGTGGAGAGGCTGCAGCTGCTGCTGCAGCAGAAGCGGCTGCGGCGGAAGGCGCGCAGGGACGCCAGGGCTCCGTACCACTGGGTGCCCAACCGCAAGGCCGGGCGCACCAACAGCAACAGCAGCGTCTCCAGCGAGGGCAGCCTGGACCTGGACTTCGAGGACTCGGTCTGGAAGCCGGAGGTCAAGGCCGAGATGAAATCCGAGTTTGTCGTAGCATAGAGAGCCGGGGCCCCCGGGGGGACTGTGCCGGGGGGTCCCGCTGGATGTCCCCGCTGCGGGGGGACAGCGCCGGTGCCGCGGGCCGGGGCTCCTCCAGGTTTGCCGTCTCCTGCGACCGGACGCGTGTCAGGGGGAGCCCCCCACCCCCCTGCTCGGTTGGGTTTGGGGAGATGGGAGGGGAGCAGCAGGAGCCGCCCCCTCCCTGCAGCCTCCCGGCACCCAGGGGGGGACCTGGGGCGTATCGAAGCTGCTGCTTTGCTGTGAAGAGGGGGGCAGCGGGGTGGGCTCCGGCCTTACCTCGTGCCATCCCCCCCTCCCCGGTGCAGGCAGGAGGAGATGAAGTCTCTCTCGGAGGTGCTGGAGCCCCCCCCGATTTGGGGGCCGTTTGTTTTCCTTCCCTTCTATATGTAGCATTGCTCAGCTGCGGGGCTGGGCCCCCTCGGGCGGCCGGGGGGACACGTGTGCCTGGGCCCCGC